CCTTGTTTTTGTCATTGCCCCGCCCCCCCCGCCTGGTCGGAGGGGGCAGGATACATGCAAAATGAAAGACGGCCTTTTTCAGGCCGACTGGTTTTTTCTCGGCCGCTCATGCACGCGGGGTGGCGCATGCATAAAAATAAAAATAAATGTTTCTTGCTCAAAAAACTCCGAAGATTTCAACAAAAAAATCGGAAAACAGATCGGACACGGTTAAGGGCCCGTACAAATTTAGGTACCCTAACTCATGATACAGAGGAAGTATATATGTGTTTGTTTTTCGCCCCCCGTCTTGCTGCACCCCCTGNTTTTTTGCAATTGACTTTGTTGCATCTGGCTGATCTGGCTTCTGTCGCTTTTGATTGCGGCTCCCGCCGGCGCTTCGCAGCCTCTCTTTCACGGTTAGCCGCCAGGCATCTGGCCTCTGTTGCTTCTGGTTGGGTCTACCGCCAGCGCCTCGCATCGTCTCCTTCACGGTTGGCCGCCAGCTGCTGTGGTGTCTGCTGCTGGCGCCCGCAGCGTCTCTCTCGCGGTTGGCCGCCCGCTGTTCTGGTGTCGGCGGCTGCCCTCGCTGTCGCCTAGCGGCGGCTCTCAATCGCCCACACGCACACGCACCAACGCACCTCTCTGCCCGTGCTCCATCAGTCTCCCTCGCACGCCTGACGACAGCCCTCTGATGAGCATTAGCTCTCGCCCTGTCAAGCTGTTGGCTGCCTAGAAACTCCCTCTCCCCGGCTTCGTCTTCGTTCAATTGCCATGAGCTCACAGCAGCTACTCCCGCTACTTCGTTGGCCACTGTATGTTGTCGCTCGCTGTGCCCGCTCTGCCCGCTGCGCGTGTGTCACTGTTCCCGCTGAGCGTGTGTTGTCTGCTGTGCGTGTGTGCCTGTGCGTGTGTTCTGCAGCTGCAATAGCTGCAATCTGCTGTGTGGTCACGTGCGGTGTGCTGACGCCCCTTTAACATCAAGTGGTGTATTCTAAAACCTAGATACAGCGAACAGACACGCGCGCCGCGCAGAAGCTTCTTTTACTTGATGGAGCGTTATTTTGCGCTGAGACCTTAGGCCAGATTAGAAATTTCACTTCGCTCGAATAAGGAAAACACCTATGCTACTTCGTGGTTAGCGTTTTTTTCTTTTGGACCGCGCTGGGTGGGTTGAGTGGACGAACGCGGGGAAATCACAGGGGAGGAAACCAACAACCTAGTTACCTGGAGAATTGAAAAGCACCGCTAAGAACATTCTCGGCCAAAGATGATCATGGGTCTATTTGAAGTTGGAACGATCCGCCGTTTGTTTACGAATCTCTTTCAACCCCCCCATAGGTACCTTAATATAGACTTGAATATGATGTCGCGAGTTTTCGATTTCCATTCTCATCGAGGTTGTACATGCTTTGCCGAAAGTCGAAAGGACTTAGGTCTGTTTTTCGAGTCCCCGTGATTCTCGATGCGCAGCCAGACTCGGTTCGATGACGTCCCGTGGTTCGAACACCTCGGGATTGATGGGTACATGGAGCGGAGGAGCGCCTAATATCTGTTGGTTTCGAACTCGCCGTCGCACGCAGGTGGTGCCGCAGTGGGTGGTTTCTTGGTGAAGTCTATTCTCCCAGAAGGAGAAAACATGCCCACATCTTGTATTTGCTGCGGAACGAATCATGTGCTTGGAGCGAGCGCTCAGTCATGGTTCATTCAGGAGGCTTTTGAGCATACGAGGAAAAGCGGTGACATTGGAGCCATTGGGATAGTCTACGCGGGTCAACGAACATTATTCCCCCTTGCCACGTGAAAATTCAGAGGTGCACACCCTGCAGAGGAAACATCGTACTGAATGTGTGACGCGAGGTCAAAGCTCTTCAGCGAGAAAGGCAAGATGGTGAAAAGGTGATCATGACACAAGGCCAAATAGGAGAAGCGTAAACAGACAACGTGAGACCACATGCAAGGTACGGTGGTGGTGATACTCAGCTGTGCCCACTTGCTTCGGGGAAGACGCTTCCTTGCGGAGAAGGTACCGTCGTCATCATTCTTCGCGATATTCGAACGGCATGAACGATTCTGTGTTGCATCGCTGCGATCTGAAAACTGGGTGGCCAATCACGATCGTGTGCATGAGCCCACAGACACTGCCGAACGGACGACAAGCCAGTCGAAAGAGGAATTGTTTTCTTCTAAACGCACACGCGCTCCAGTTGATCTTCAAGCCATCATAAGAACACGAAGTAGATTCCACGCACACCGTTGTACTTTCAAATAACGCGCTTCGACGTTGGCGCCCCGCCACATCGCCATTCCCTCTTCGGACAACGAAAAACAGAAACAAAACTCATGCAAAACGAACGAAAAGTATGTTGACCAATACTGTGCAGGCAACGTTAGACTGCGACGAACTTCTCCTTGGAAGCGCTGCCGCCACCCCCCCCTCCTTAAGCAAAAGAAACATCCCTCATCCCTCATATGGGGAGTGTGAGGCGCAAGTCTCTGCATTTACTGGTTTGGGCGGCCAGAGGAACGAGTGCCCATTTCATCTGCTGCCAAAAACACCGAAGCTAATTAAGCTCCCGGAGCTCTTAGCAATATCATACAAATCAGCAAGCTCGTGTTGGAGCCGGCTCGGTCCAATCTACATGCTGCCGTCTCCCTCCCTTGACAAACGCGATGAATCAAACGGTTGTAAACAGGACGGCACGACATCTCTACGGTATGTTCGATGGTACCCCGACAAGCCTACCACAGAAATGCCGCTAGTTTTGCGGGCGTCCCCTGCCAACACGCGTGGCTTAATCACTTGTGAGGCTCGAACAACCACTGGTCACAAGTTGATCCAATCGCTGACGTCAGCTACGGTGTGCACTATGTAGCTGTCCGAAACAACTAACCCCCTTTTTCCACAGAGGCTGCGAGGCACCAGGTTGCCACAAAAGGGGAGCCAAGGAATGAGTTTCGCGCGTTGCTACACGCGTGCGCGTTTCGAATGCAGGGCTAAACTGTCCCTTTTCATGACAACTACTCCGCCCCTTTTTGAGAAAAAAATCCCCACCTACCAGCGGAAGGCTCCCAACCACTCACACTTACCACTATCAAAACGGCACGCCATTTTCTGCAAAACAACAAAAACAAGTTGCAGACGATCATAATTGGGGTGCCACCCCACGCCTAGGTTATCCGAGGCGATGTCGGCTACATTAAGAAAAAAAAAAGATATCGCATCATACTCAGGTATGTGTAGTGCCAAAGACTCGAGTTGGTTACCCGAGCCAACGGCCGAACGTGCCATTTGCCGGCAGTAGGGTCGTGCCCCCAAGACCGCCCCATCGCTCGCCCACACAGCATCAAGCCTGCCTACATCTGAGTGCTGCCAGATCAGCGCCGCAGGAAGGACACGATAGAACAAGGCCGAACGTTTATTTGCTGCCACAGCAGCAGCGGCGCTCCCAGGTTTTGGGGGGGAGTCATCGGTGCAGACTCGCGAAAACCCCTGTCGGTGCCTTGTCCGATAGTCGTGGGCGGAGCAAAAGGCAGACACACCGATCGATGTTGCCTTGGCTTCACAGAAAAGTAAATCATTGCCGAGGTACATGTCCAACCCCTGCCCTCACCTCACTTCCGAACGAAATCAAAGAGACGTTGACTTCCATGGCAAACCGAACCCAACAAAGTAGACAGGAACATGCTTACCACGAAATTCATAGACGGAATACACTGGAGCAAGTGAAGGTAACCCACTAATTTTCGCTCGCACCGAACCAAGAGCATCCCCGGGAGAGATCAAGCTCCTTACTCAACACATGCACGATAAAGTTATCGAAAATGACAAGACAACCCTCGAGGTCGAACAACACATGTCTAAGTCAAGCATACCCCCAAGCAAAAGATACGGCCAAAATAAATCCATGTAAAGACAAGACACTCAAAACAATATATGAGGAACGAAAAGTCGTTCTAAACCAGCACCCACACGGATGATCAACCACCTGACGAGAGTGCAACACTCCACCAAACTCAAACCGGGTCAAACTGAACAGCGCGGCCACCAGGCCCCAAGGGCACGACGTATGTTGGTCTGTCCACAGCACGGTGCGTGTTCCTTTACACGGCACGGTCGATCCACACGGTGCGGTGACCGTCAAGCGCGAGGCTGCCTTCCGTTGCCAATCCTTGGCCTTCTACGATTCTCCGACCCACGCCTACGAAGCAATGAACACAACAAAATCTCACCCAACAATCATGAACACGGTATACTGTACTGCGTACACCGTACGGTTCCCGCCAACGGTACGGTAACTCTGTACACGGTACGGCAACGATCAAGTGCCGGGTTGCGTTCGGTTGCCAATCCCTGGCCTTACAAAATACTTCGAACCACGTCTGCCCAAGCATTGAACACCACCTCACCCTTACAGAAAAACACGACACCGTATACTGCATTACTGTTCACGGTACGGTACCTGTGCACGACACGGTCCTGTACGCGGTACGGTACCTGTACACGGTACGGTACCTGTACGCAAGGCGACAACTGCCGTCGAGTGCAAGGTGGCGTTCCGTTGCTCCCTCTTGCCTTCTCAAGTACTCTGATCCACGTTTACCAAGCGTTAAATACCACACCATCCCAAAATAATGCCTGAAACCGTCTACTGCTGTTCTACTGTGCACGGTACGGTACGTGCACACGGTACGGTACCTGTACAGGGTACAGTAACTGCCACTTGCAGTCCGTTGCTCATCCCTGGCCTTCTAAAGTACTCCGACCCACGTCCACAAAAGCGTTACATACCACACCATCCCAACAAAACAGTCCGAAACCCTCTACTACACAGCAGAGCTCGGTACGGTGCCGGCACGCGGTGTGGTAACCGTTAAAAAGTGCGAGTTGCATCCCGTTGCCTGTCACTGACCATACTCCGAACCACGTCTACCTAAGCACCAAACTCCACATCCTCCGAGCGAAAAAGAGGACCCCGAAAAAACGTTCACTGTACCGGTTTAGCCGTGTAGACCACCACCGGCACCGGTCTCCTGGCAGCAAGGACGCACCTGCGGTACAGAAGGGAGACAAAGGGCACCGAAAACGCAGTTCAAGCGACAAGATGACCCGCGACAGGGAGGCAAGGGGGGGGGG